GGTGGTGTTCATGACGTGTGTTGGAAGTTCACTGCATGTTCTGACAATGCCGCGCGATGTGTTGATGATAATGGGGTATGTGGGTGGGGCAGTGACGCTTGTCTTTGAGTAGCTGTAGGTCAGTGTGTTCCCTCTTGGAAAAAAAGACATTTCTCTGCGAGCCATCGTGCACGGGGGAAATCTGTACAGGGCTTACTTTTATGAGAAGCAATTCAAATGCTCGCAACCAAAGCACATTGTAATGTATGTTATCACTCGCTTTTAACCACCATTATATAACAACTAAAAAGTTACAATAGTTACAGCCCTTGGTCAGTACTGCTGAATAAAGGCCACGCCGTGTCAATTCACAGGGTTTTTTCAACCATACTTCATCACATTGGTCAGTGCAGTTTGATGTCGACGAGCGAAACTGATTCTAAATTCAAACTAAACTATTTAAATGTTGTCAGATAAGGCCCACTGAGTTGTACAGCTCTTTTTCAGAATCGACCTGGCCACAAATGATAGCTCAACGAAGTGGCTTATCATGTGGAAATTTATAGCATCCAAATACTCTGAACGAGACCACGGGGATAACATGCAAACCCTAAAATTTACAGGTGTCAGGGTTGGGATTGAACCCACGACCTCCTGTATACCAGGCGAGGTAGTTAACATCTCCTAGCCACCGTGATGATGATGAGAGAGAGACGGGATCGAACCCACGACCTCCTGTATACCAGGCGAGGTAGTTAACATCTCCTAGCCATTGTGATGATGAAAGAGAGACGGGATCGAACCCACGACCTCCTGTATACCAGGCGAGGTAGTTAACATCTCCTAGCCACCGTGGCACTTGCCATTGATGGTGACTGTGGCCGGAAATCGAGTTCGGGTCACAGGATTCATAGTGCAGTGTATTATCCACTGTGCCACAGAGGACGCAAACGGGTTTTGATTCCTTACCCGTACCCGTACCCGGCCGCACCAGGGTCGCAAACGGGTACCCGTACCTGTACCCGGCCGGGTACGGGTACCTGTACTCGTACCCTACCCGAAATGAGTGACAAACTGTTACTCACCGGTGACTCACGGCCTACCCGTACCCATACCCGGCCGCACCAGGGTCGCAAACGGGTACCGGTACCCATACCCGGCCGGGTACGGGTAGCCGGGTATCGGGTAGGGTACGGGTATCGGGTACCCGGTTGCGACCTCTGCTGTGCCACCAACCCCTTCCTGCCCACCTAGCCCCCTTATATTAACAACTATCAGTATGATTAACTTATTGATATAATAAATTATGCCTTTTTCATATGTGCAGTATTCAAACATAGAAGTATATTCAGAAGTGTTTGTTTAATCAAGCAATGGACACCCAGTTTTTTCACTACAACCCACAGAGCCATTGATATTTTTTTTTATGTAACCACAAGGATCCACTTGGTCTCTTTACAGTTTTTGTGGCCTATAGCAACAGATTTGTTGATAACGATATTTTCTTTTGTGCCGTCATTGCATATTCCATTGTATTATTGCCACAGCTGTAAATGAATGCCATTTCGCAACCCACTTTTATGCTAGTTAAATTTGTATTAATGAGAGCATGGTACGCTCGTTAATGTGTTGTCCCTATTCAACCTCGCTGGAGCCTTTATTCGTTGTTTCCATGGGCTTGGAAAAATACCTGCTGGTCAAAACATTGGCATTTGTTATCACTAATTCGGAAAAATAACAACTATGCGCGTTCCACATGGATGTATTATATATATGAAAAATTACACTACCTAGATTTTTTTTTATAGAAGATTAAGCAACATCTGTAAACAGCAGTCTGCAAATTGTCAAAACTCAACTTGATTTCTAAAACTGAAGATTTTTTTGTTGCAGAATCGTTTTTTGGAACTGTTACTTCTACTGGGGGTTTGTTGTTGTTATCCAATCCCATTTTTAAGACGTGGAAGCAACAGTGGTTTGCTGCCTTACTGGAGGGAGGCTGCCGTGCCTGGTAATACCATACTGCCGTGCACACACGTACATTTTTCCGCCAAGACCGACAGATCCCAGCCGTGACTTCCTTCGCCGTCCGAGCCCTCGAGACACCTCGATGATGAAAGGCCCCATCCAGGACGGCTGCACTTCTACTTGCGCCGAAATTTGTGGACGGGAGCGTGCCTCTTCCCCCCCCCTCCTCCCTCCTTTTCTCATTTGATGGTATTTTAATGCCTGTAGCAGACCGCCGCGACGACTGGTAACCAGGGACGGGACGTCGGGATCGGTGTGCGTGGTCCTACGGTGGCGGCGCCGTGATGCCACGGGGGTAGCTCGGGGATTTCTGCAGGTATTCACGAACCCCCTAATGGGGATGCAGCCATCATGATTAGGTGGTCTGTTAAAAGGCTAAAGTGGGGGGGGGGGGGGGGGTGTCCACGCAGTTACCAAGGGGTCAACGAAGACAAAGAAAGATTCGTGTGCCAGAGTGGGGCAAAACCACTCGTCACTTTCCCCCCCCCCCTTTGGCTGCGAGCGGTTTATTCGTGAATACGTTCCTCTGCTCCCACGTTTACAGCTACTGCAACTGCTCACTCGAGTTTGGAGTTCATGCGGTGAGGGGTAGGCGTGTAACTGGACATAGAATTGTCTGTTATAATGTATTTCGCGTTCCGATTCCAGCATTGATTCGTGCATGTAAGAATCGGTTATTATGATTACTACAATTTGTGGAAGTGGATGTGCAAATGCCAATCTAACACGCAAGGCTAGCGGATTGAAAACAAATTTATTAATGAGACGGAAAAATGAGAAACGGAACGAACAAATCGGTAAAATGAGAAAAGTAGATTCTTGAAGGAAGCCAATCGCAACCCTTAATGGTGGCAATTCACCGAATCGCTGGGTGGGTGACACACATCACTAGCCTGTTGAGAACGCTCGCGCGTTGCTCATGCAAATGGCATGCGGTGGGAACTTTGGAGTCGGTGTGTGAATTGCACCGTTGCCTATCAATCATCGTGGTGGCGGTCACCCCATGACCCACACCTGCCGTGCGAAGTCTGGGACTAGCCGCCCGGCCACCGACGTGACAGGGTGCCCTGGTTGCCGGGGAATCAAAAGCGTCATCGCTCATTTCCCACCGGGTTGTGCGCCTGCAGACGGGGGACTTTCGCCGTGCGTTGTGACGTCCACCCTGACGTTGTGACGTCCACCCTGACGTTGTGACGTCCACCCTGCGTTGTGACGTCCACCCTGCGTTGTGACGTCCACCCTGAGTTGTGACGTCCACCCGTGGAGACGGAGAGACGAAATGTGCTCGTGTGCAGGAGCTTGATGGAATGTTTGCGTCACGTTACCGTGGCAAGTGGATAATGACGAATGATGATGATTGGCTCAAACAGCGTTGTTTATGCCTCGAACTGCAGCTGATGAGCAGGTGATGTGTCCACGAGAATTTGTGTTGAAAAAAACAAGCGTGGATGATAGATAAAAGTGTGAACAGCAGTGAAGGGAAGCCTTCAAATGGCTCGCTGAGCTATAGAAGATCTGCATTAACACGTATCAACATAATTTTTCATTAGGTGTTTTTATGCTGTACATTTAATCTGTGTAATGCAGCAACATATTGAATAAGGAAATACCATGATGTATTGTTTTTGTGTTTTTTAAAATATCTCCCTATAATGTTGACGGTGATATGGCGAGTAAATCGTGAACAACAATTTTTGGAGTCTGGGTTTAAATTACCCAACCAAGCCTTCCCATCTAGTTAATTTGGCAGGATGTGTGATCTTCCCACTTGGAAAAGTGGTTGGTGGATCAAGCAAGGATTGGACTTACCTGATACACCCACCAGCAGGAGACAGTACATCAAGTAGGTTGAGAGTGTTCCTTAAGAATTACTTAAATAATTGACCAAACACATGTTGTTTCACGTCATGGTGTAAACCGTCTGCTTATAGTGCGCAAGGCATTACATCATACTCGCCTTTTGTAAAAAGTTAGATTAAAAAACAATCTTATTTTGTGGACAAAATAGGGAATATTTTTAATTATTGCAGCACGTTCACTCCAACGCAGCGGTGAGCCAACAGCTGCGAGATGACGGCAGGTCTCGCCATCGCGCGGTGCTCGTGACTTGGAAAACCTTAGAAATTTCATTTTGCATGAAAACTTTGGTTCATTTTACGAATTATTTTCTGGCTTACACGATGTCATCCGTTATGTTACGCCATGGGTATGCAGCATGTATAGTAATCAGGTTAAGCTGGTTTCTTGTGCCATTGAGTTTGAAAGCAGGAGTTTCCTGCAGACTTGCCAGTCTTTCTGTGTGAGTGTGCGCGTGCACACGTGTGTGCGTGTGTACACCCGTGAAGATGTGGCGTGTGAGTTCGTGCGACCTGGCTGCAGTTACCGGCCTTGTCCATGGTTGGGTGATACTCGGTGTTTTAACCTGTTATGTTTCCCCGCTTGGTTGATTCAGCCTTAAATGAGTGCCTGGTGCAATGTGTGAACGTCAGCACCCTGGGAGATGAAGGTAGCTGCGCACAGTCCTGGCCAAACCTCCCTCCTGTATGTAGCATCTGACCTTCGTAGTTGCATGCTAACTTCCTCCTCAAGTCGATGACGCTAACCGTGGGGAATTTTGTCTGCGTGCGTTACGAATGTGTTGTGAATATCTGAACCGGTCCTGAACCTCCCGACAGTTCGACTCAAAGATGTACTTAGCCCTACATGGTGCTGTGCGTGTAAACATCGTCACCGGGGAGACGGAGGCAACGGGCTTGTTGCTAGCCACACCACTTACTCGTGCACCGTGCCAGCCTTAATAGGTGCTCGCTAACAGCACCTGCCCCCACAGGCTGTTACATCACACGATGAGGGCACCACCGCATGGACAGCATCGTGGGCAGTGGCGGCCGCAGTTAACGTAAAAAGGTTCAGGAACGACTTTGCGCCCCGTCGTTTCGTTCAAAGGCCATAACGGAGAATCTTTCTCTTCTGCGCGTGCGTGCGGAAAGCAGCAGCTGGAGCTTGTGGAGCCCAGCGGCTGGGTGCACATCCCGCTGACGGACGCCGACGGCAAGCCCCTGCGCACCTTCATGATCCAGATGGCAGTGCTGGCGAACCACCAGAACGGGCGCGACACGCACATGCGGCAGATCCGCGTCTACACGCCCGTGGAGGAGAGCACCGTCGGCAACCTGCCGCGCCTCTCCACCGTCGGGTGCCTCGTGTACAGCACCGTCCGCTGAGGGGCGGCGCGAGAGCGCGGCGCGGTTCTCTCGGCGACGCGCCGTTACGAACCCACGGAATCCCCAACGGTCTTCGCAAAGCCGCGTGTGTCACGACCCTTCGCTGTGGTTTTAACGCCCCCCCTCCGCCTGCCCCTGTCCACCTTGGCATGATGAGAGTCCAGTTGTTCTTGCCCTGCAGGCGCACGCCACAATTCTTCTCGTGCCGTCTTACAGGCCTGGTGAAATTTCAACTTTGCCAAAGATGAAAGCTGTAGATGGGTCAAGAATGCTGTGATCGTGATGGGGCTGTAAATGTCACAGGCCGCCCCACTTTAAAGCAGGACCATTTCCCAAAACGTTAGCCTGCGAAATAGTATTTATATCTGTTACTCTGTAGGTTTCCGAAGCTGTGCTGTATACATCTCTCCAATGTGTTTTCTGGTTCTACCAAGTTATGTTCGACACGGTGTCTGACGTGACTCTCCACAGTTCCTGAAGAAGCTCCCAGCGGGTGGAGTGAAACGTCGGATGTCGTGCCGAACAACACGCGGTACGCCCCGAAAACACGTTGGAGATCTGTTTATTTCCATTGCACGGCAGAGTTGGTGATGATGGTAGCGAGGCTTTTTATCGTCCGTTTCTACACCCTTTGGCAATGCAGTCGTGAAAGTTTTATTCGAAACTTGAAGCTCGTACAAAGCCCACTGGAGTTTGCTTGCTGCCACAAATATACGGCCACTATCCTGGCTACTTGCCAGCTCTCTACGTGATTAACTTCAACTCCTCCTGGGCCTCGTGCCTATTTTTTGTTTGGTATAGAATCAAATCTCTCCCGGACAGAATGGCCAAGCCTGGTTTGCGATGACAGATTTTCAATTTGGAAGCCACACGTTACGCGATTAGTTTTAAATTTTCCGAGCGCCAATTAAATGACCTGTGTAACGGCCAAGTGTCATTGTCTCACCGCAGATGTGTCCATTGGCGTTCCGTTCGCTGCCATATGCTCCGCAAGGATACGGTGCACTCTCATGTTGCATATCAGCCACTATCCGTGTAGAACAAACAACGAGACCACAAAACTGTTTGAATCAAATTAATTCTCATCATCGTCTTATTTTCAAAATTGAAGTCGTCACGTTCGCACTCGCACAATACACACGTGTGCACGTTCACACAGCCTTCATATGTGTTCTCCTTCACGGGCTCACTGAAACAACTTGGCAAAACATCAGCTGCAAACAATTGCCCCCTTAATTGTCTACACTTGCCAAACCTTTCAAAGGCTAGCATGAATCACGTGTATGACATAATAAGCATACTTAAGTTTCCTCTTCAGGGAAATGAATGCTGCCATAGAGATAAATAAATATTTGTCGACAATTTGTCCTGTTTCTGCTGAACTGCGGTATTGTATGTATGTACGTTGAACTTCTTTCGCACCGTACGCAGCCAACCATGCTAATCGTCGGTGCGGGGGAAGGACAACAATCGGCAGTTCTGTTGCTACTGGAAAATGTGAGCATCCAAGAAAATGTGATTTAAGAATTCTGGGAGGGGGAGCACACATGGAGGGCACTGGCTCTCACATTGATTCATGCTGCATATGTCATTTTCTTGTATGCGATGAATAATTATTATTCATCGTGAGAGGGGAGCTGTTTACTTTGTGCTGGCACGATACGTATTGTTTACAGGGAAGCTCATTTCTCCGCTTGCACCGGAAGCTGTGTTTACGAATTCGTGTCTCAGGAGGGCTTGTGACCAGACTAGATATTGTGTCCAGCGGTTTTGGCCCTCAGCCAGGAAACTATGTCTTAACGCCCCCACTCAGTGTCTTCATGAAAGGGCACTATACGAAGGCTGAATTTAGTCTTTGTTTTTTCTTATTGTAGGTTAATGATTCCAGACTGGCTGTAGATATGGTCGTCAGGCTTCTTGTTGGCCATCATTTCAGTGGATGAGGGCTCAATTTCCTTGTGTCTCTGTCTAACCAATTGTAACATTTTTTATGGTTTCAAAATAATGGCTTTGCAATATAGGTTGGCTAGGGACAACATGCTCACGTATCATGAATTGGCAAATAATACTCGCCATGGGACCTGGAGTTGGGGAGAACCTTAAATTATACCAGCATATGACTGATTAACTTATGTTTCTTCTTGGCAAAGCAGACACAGCTGGAAAAGGGTACCCAGCGAATCGTCCATTGCGGTCCAAAGAGTTTTGAGTGCCAGTGGTGTGGACTCTGGGGACCGAGTGAAATGAGTGTTCCACTGCGTTGACACTTGTCTAAGCCACATCCCCTAAACATTCGCCACCAGAATTAAATTAACATGTGGTCAGTTTTGAGGACATGTGTCGGGAAATGTACATGCAATGTGTGTCTGTGCGTTCTTGGGGGAAGGGGAAAAACCCTATTGCTCAAATAATATCATAGGATACAGTGGGGTTGACCCTGCTGGTGCTGCTGTGCCTCAAATATTGAAGGAAGTGGCTGCTTATTTTGAGTGGTTGGCTGAAGTTGCATTTCTTAAGGAAGTCCGAAGGGCGATTCGGAGCTTTAAACCAGGTAAAGCGCCAGGGAGAGTTGACCTTGTGAGGGAGGGTGGCGTTTGTGCGCAAACTGCTCTATGTGATGTCATCACAACTGTCAGGTCCACAGGAAGGTTTTCCACAGGGTTGGAAGGATGCCCTGGTCGTCCCTATTTTTAAAAAGGGGGGGACCGCACTAATGTTAACAACTATAAGGGCATCTCCCTCAGTGTGTCCCGGGAAAGGTCCTGGAAAGGATGATTATCGCCTTGCGAGACATGCGAGGAGAAGTTTGTGGATACCCATTGTGGTTTCAGATTGAGGATTGTCAAACTTCATGAACTCTTTTGCTCAATTTTGGCCAAAAATATTTTAAACATACATTTCTGAAAACTGAATGTAAATGTAATTTTCCGATTTTTAAAATAATTTTTTTCTGCTTTAAATGTGTTCAAAGTGAGGTTGTGGTTGTTTCTTAATTTTATTATGCTGAGAAACATTAAAAATGTGTTTTTATCTGAAGTTAGGTAGAACATATTTGGCCACATTTCACCGAGCATTACATAACAGCCACCACAATAAGACTGCAATTTGTCATATTTACATAAATATCGTGGTGGTGGGGTTTGTGTGTTCCAGTGACCCTCAGAGCTATGTCGCCTGGTAGGGTAGGGTCTCCCTTGACGAACAGATTTTGGGGGGAGGTTCCACATAAATAGCGGTCCAAACAAAAGCCCCTCATGAATGGTTCGGAAATATACAAATCAGAGAACTTCCCCCGGACAAGGTATACCTTCCTGGAACCAGGCCTGGGGGTGGTGTTCACCAACAAGCGCCCTGTAGTCGGGTGACCCATGTAACCTGGTCGGGCCCAGCCCAAAATGGTTATGTGGCGCTTTCCTGTGGGCCCACCATCCGCAGGATGAAGGGTGAGGGGCGGGTGCGATGCCAGTATGGTAGGGAGAGTGATGGTCTCAGACTGGGACTGGACCTTGGCAATGGTCACCAGCTATTGGGACATGGAATGTCACATCACTGTGGGGGGGGGGGGGGGGGAAAGAGCCGGAGCTGGTAGAGGAGGTGGAAAGGTACTGACTAGACATCGTCAGCCTCACCTCCACATGCAGCATTGGCATTGGAACCAAAGTTATCGATGGGGGGTAGTCTATTCCAGAGGAACCCCTGGTGGGAGACGGTGTGGGGATACCCACAAGCTTCCGACTGGGTGCTGTTCAGTTGGAGTTTGTCCCAGTGGATGAGAGGGTCACCTCAGTGAGACCTCGGGTCTCAGGAAAACTCTGATTTGTCTGTGCTTATTACCAAACAGCAGTTCAGAGTATTCGGCCTTCTTCGAGAAGGTGGATGCAGTGCTGCCTACCGACTCAATATTCTGACTGAATTCAATGGTCATGTGGTCAACGATGGAGATACCTGGAGAGGCATGATTGGGAGGAATGCCCCCCTTGATCTGAACCCGAATGGTGAGATGTTATTAGAATTATTCGCTAGTCACTTAATGTCAAGAGCAAACACCGTTCGAACACAAGGATGCTCGTAATTGTACTTGGTACCAGAGCACCTTGGGCCGAAGGTCAATGATTGACTTTATAGATGTATCATCGGACCTAAGGCTGTATGTTCTGGACACTCGAGTGAGGAGAGGAGCAGAGCTGTCAACTGATTACCACCTGGTGGTAGGTTGGATCCGACACTTTGACACCGACCAGATAGACGTGAAAGGCCCAAACGAATAGTGCGAGTTCTTTGGGAACGTCTTGCGGAAGACCCAGTGCAGAAGGTTTTCAACTTCCACCTCCGGGAAAATGTCTCCTACACTCCAGGGGGAGGTTATGGACATTGAGTCCGAGCGGACGATGTTCAGAACCTCGATTGTGGATGCAGCTGCGAAAAGCTGTGGCCTGAAGGCAGTTGGTGCCTGTCATGGCGGCAACCCTAGCACCCGGTGGTGGACACCAGTGGTGAGGGCAGCTGTCAAGTTGAAGAAGGAGGCCTCGGAAAAAGGTTTCCCGACTCAATTGAGAGGTACTCGCTTGCCAAGAGGGTGGTAGCAGTCGCTGAAGTGAAAGCCCAGGCGTGGGAGGAGTTTGGAGAGGCCATGGAGAGGGACTACCGGGCAGCCGCAAAGATATTCTGGCAAACAATCCCACACATTAAGAGGGGGTCGACGGGACGTGGCCCAGGTTGTTCTTAGTAAGGGTGGCGTAACATTGAACTCAACTAAGGAGATAGTCTAGAGGTGGAAGGAACACTTTGAGGAGCTCCTCAACCCTGTGGACATGCCCTCCTATTACGAAGCAGCCCTGGGAACAGCTGGGGGGGGTCTCATCCATCACGGCTGCTGAAGCCGCTGCGGCGGTCCAGGGCCTTTATAGCGGAAAAGCTGCTGGAGTGGATGAGATTCGCCCAGAGTTGTTGAAAGCGCTGGACAGTGTAGGAGTGTTGGGGTTAACACGCCTTTTCAATGTCATTTCCTGGCAGCGATTTCAGCCGCATCACCTCTACATAACAAAAGGCTCAGTCCCATTTACACGCACCTTTACATTATGCGCACCTAGTTTATACAACAAAGGCTCATTCCTAACAGCGTGCTTCAGCCGCACCGAACCTCACAAAAATAATATTCAGGGCTTACCTTGGCCCCCTCCCACCCTCAACCAGTATATATACATGGACTGTTTTCTTGGAATTTCTCTCACTTGATACAGCTATCGTGCTGTGACGGTTCCACCTGAAGACGGGAGCTTGTGTTGCCTCCGAAACGTGATTTTTATTTTATTTTTTATTTTACTTTTATTAATTAAAATTTTTTACCTACGTGACTTTACCTAAAAAACCCAAGAATATGAATCATTGCAGTCACGAAAACTTCAAATTTAGAACTCTTCAATGTTGCTTGGAGAGGGGGGGGCGGTACAGTACCTCTGGATTGGCAAACTGGGGTCGTGGTCCTGATTTTTAAGAAAGGGGACCAGAGGGTGTGCTCCAACTACAGAGGGATCACACTTTTCAGCGTTCCAGGTAAAGCCGATGCCAGAGTGCTGGAGAGAAGGCTTTGCCCAGTGGTCGAACCTCAGATTCAGGAGAAACGATGCGAATTCCGTCAGGGTCGTGGATTAATGGACCAGTCCTTTTCTTTCTCATATATTTGAGGAGTCTTGGGAGTATCCTTTGGTCTTCCTCTGCTTCATAGACTTGGACTAGGCATATGACCGTGTTCCCCGAAATGTCTTGTGGGAGGTTCTGCGGGAGTATGATGTACCGGTGTCGCTATCCGGTCCCTCTATTCCCAGAGTGAGAGCTGTGTCTGTATTATTGGTGTTAAATCAAAGTCGTTCACTGTGGGTGTTGGACTCTGCCAAGGGTGCGTCTTGTCTCCACTCCTGTTTGTGATTTTCATGGACAGGATATCAAAATGCAGCTGAGGTATGGAGAGTATCGGGGCATGGAGGTGGCGTCGTCGCTGCTTTTTGCAGATGACGTTGTCCTCTTTGCCTCGTCAGTCTGTGATCTCCAGCGTGCACCTGAACGGTTTGAGGATCATCACCTCCAAATCTGAGGTCATGGTTCACTTCCGGGAGATGGTGGAGTATGCTGTCCAGGTGAAAGCTGCCTTTAGTGGAGGAGTTTAAGTGCTTAGGGGTCTCTTTCGCGAGTGATGGTAAGTGGGAGCGGGTGATCGGCGGGCGGATCGGTGCGGCGTCCGCAGTGTTGCGGGTGGGGGGGGCAACCCTTCCATCAATGAAAAATTATCGAGGAGTTAGTAAGTAAGGACTTGTCCCTTGCTTTTTATTCTACGCGCGTGCGGCGATGGTGCAGCCATCAATCGAGGGTCGAATTCGAACCGTGTGTGATCGGCATCGCGCTCGCTGAAGGTGTTTGCCTTCAGGGAAGTCGTGTACTGTATACGCAACTGCGCACAATTCTGAGTCACTTATAACTGCTTTGCCGTTACTTTATTGCCAAGTACGGACTCAGACTATTGTCCTATCATCTCATAGAGTCCTTGGCACTTAATAACATGCTACACAGTGGCAGTGGGGGTTGCAAAATGCCGATTTGTTACTAATAAACCCCAATGATCCGATCGAAATTAGGGATTTCGATCGGATCATTGGGGGGGCACGTGCCACTCCACCTCCCCCCCCTGGTACTCTACCGGGCACGCCCCACTGGGCGAAGACCCTGGGGCCAGCTCAGCACACGCTGGTGGGACTATGTCGCTCGGCTGGCCTGGGAACCACCTGGGAATTCTCCAGGAATAGCTCGAGTCCTTTGCCAGGACCGCCCGACTACTCAACATGGATCTGCCGCGGCTCTCACCAGGACAAGCGGATTGAGAAATGAACGAACGAACCTAAGATACTAACATGAACATTGTATTCTTTGAACTATATATATTGTCAATAAAATGTTTTTCAATTTCACTTTGTGCGTCAGTGCCCACCATGTCGGTCACGGTATTCCTGCAAATGGAGTGGTAGCTGATGGAGTGGTAGCTGATGGAGTGGTAGCTGACGGAGTGGTAGCTGATGGAGTGGTAGCTGACGGAGTGGTAGCTGACGGAGTGGTAGCTGACGGAGTGGTAGCTGACGGAGTGGTAGCTGACGGAGTGGTAGCTGACGGAGTGGTAGCTGATGGAGTGGTAGCTGATGGAGTGGTAGCTGATGGAGTGGTAGCTGATGGAGTGGTAGCTGACGGAGTGGTAGCTGACGGAGTGGTAGCTGATGGAGTGGTAGCTGACGGAGTGGTAGCTGACGGAGTGGTAGCTGACGGAGTGGTAGCTGATGGAGTGGTAGCTGACGGAGTGGTAGCTGACGGAGTGGTAGCTGATGGAGTGGTAGCTGACGGAGTGGTAGCTGACGGAGTGGTAGCTGATGGAGTGGTAGCTGACGGAGTGGTAGCTGCCATCTGCAGGCAGCAGACTGAATCAATCGACTAATGTTTATTTTGATTTGAAGCTTTCGTGACTGCAGGTATTCATATTATTGGTTCTTTCGGTAAATTTACGTAGAAGGGAAATAATAAAATAATAGAAATATATAACAATAAAAATTCTCACGACGTTTCGACTGCAACACAATCATCATCAGGTGTGAAATACACAGCAAGAAAACGATGATGATTGCTTGTATTGCAGTCGAAACCTCGTGAGAATTTTTTTGTTTTATATTTATATTTTATTATTTCCCTTCTACGTGACTTTACCGAAAGAACCAAGAATATAATGTTTATTTGTCACTCGGAAAGTCACGTGTTTAGCCAATTACCCAGCTGTGGTTTGCAAGGGAGATGCATGGTGCTGTCGGCAGAGGACAACAACATCAAAGGTATGCATACGGAAATGCGGGCGCTCTTCCGTTCCAGAGGCGCTGCCATGTGACCTGGATAATTCTAGATTTGAAGCTTTCGTGACTGCAAGGATTCATATTCTTAGGTTTTTTTCGGTAAAGTCACGTAGGTAAAAATTTAAATTAATAAAAGTAAAATTAAATAAAAATAAAATAAAAATCACGACGTTTCGGAGGCAACACCTGAAGACGGAAGCTTGTGTTGCCTCCGAAACATCGTGATTTATATTTTATTTTTATTTTTTTTACTTTTATTAATTTTAATGTTTTACCTACGTGACTTTACCGAAAAAACCTAAGAATGTAGCCTGGATATTTGTGAAAAAGATATTTATAGCTCATCGGACTCTTCCAGTATAAATATTCTGATTCTAAACCTTTCCACCACCAACCATCACTCTTGTCTGCACAGGCCGTACAGACGGAGGGAACCACGCTTAAAAGCATCTTGGAATTTATTTGGTTTTGCTAGATTTAATTCTACGGTTTAACTCTGGCAGTCTATGCAGGCTAGTTTCATAATTTAATTCCCGGGGGTTTTCAACGTAGCCAAGTATGTTTGAGTTTATCATACAGGGCATCCCTCAATATACGGAACGGATACTTTCCACGAGAATTGCACATAAAGCGAAAATCTATTTATCGAACCCTATTTTC